AGCACAGCAAGAGGCCAATAAGAACTTTTCCGAGTTCATCGATACTCTTCGGGAAGCCTCTTCAACAAATGCCAATGCTGTCCAGCCAGCCATCGAACACTACTTTGACAAGATTGCCCGGGAGATTCTCGCCTATGAGCGGACAAATACTGTCAACCTCAAGAGGATTGTGATCGATCCTTTGGACAAATTCTATACAGTGGATATCAAGCAAGCCGAGTCCAAGAAACGTGACTTTGAGGAGGAAAGCAAGGATTACTATGCTTACGTTTCAAGATATCTCGGACAGCGTCACGATTCTGTCAAGGCTAAGAAACTGGCAGAGAGTGATTCAAAGTACCAGACCAAGCGTCGCAACTTCGAGCTCAAGCGTTTCGACTATTCGAGTTTCATGCAAGACTTGCATGGCGGCCGCAAAGAACAGGAAGTTCTGTCCCACCTCACGCGATACGCTGACGCTCAAACGAAGAGCTTCCTCGAGGCGGCGAAAAAGATCGATACCCTTCTACCTCAGTTGGAGGCACTTTCAAGCGAAGTACAAGAGGCCGATAAGGAGTATCAGTACCAAAGGCGGGAGCGCGAAGAGAAGAGACGACTACTCGAGAAAAGCAACCAGCCGTACAATGAGCCCGATCCCATCCCTGTACCCGGTACAAGCAGTGGCCCGGTTGCGAGCTCAAATGGAACTGCGTATGTTTCCGACAGTGATCTAGGCCGTGCCGACAGCACAGGATCGCAGTTGAAGGTGGCAATGTCTTCGGGTTCGAATCCTTCCCTTTCAATGGCTTCTCCTGAGCTATCTCGATCCCCGGGCAGTCTCGGCAATTCTTCTGTTGGAAGTCCTGCTCAAGCCTCAAAGTTCAAAGGAATCCGTGATTTGGAGGAGAAAGACTATGGCCAATCGTCAGGCGCCAGCAGCACACAGCGTAAAGAAGGCCTGCTATGGTCCCTTAGTAAGGGCGGAAGCAATCATGTTGACCCGCGCAACCTGAACAAACAGGGTTGGCACAAGTAAGTTCACCTGGAACCCCCAAAGCATTTTGCATCCTGACAAAGCAGGTTCTGGATTGTTCTCGATCAGGGCAAGCTCTCGGAGTATAGCAACTGGAAACAAAGGCTTGATTTGCACAATGATCCAATCGACTTGAGAATGGCATCTGTTCGAGAAGCACGGAATGCTGAGCGTCGATTCTGTTTCGAAGTCATTACGCCTCAGTTCAAACGAGTCTACCAAGCAACGTCGGAAGAAGATATGAACAGTTGGATAACGTCTATCAACAATGCGTTGCAAAGTGCGGTCGAAGGTCGCATCATGAGAGACAAGTCGGCGCCGAGCGATTCAGGATACATCAAGAGAGACATTGGCTCGATCCTCACCGGCAAGAGCCCCTCTGTTGGCCACAATAGCCACCACAGTCACGCAAATTCAAATAGCGCACCCGTACGCCGAATTACTGTGGGCGCTCGGCCCAGCACGCATCGATCAACCAGCTCGAGTTTCGACGAGAATCCTGACAAGCTGCTTCAATTGCTTCGCGACAACGACCAAGGAAATTGCTGGTGCGCTGATTGCGGGTCGGGTACAAAAGTCGAATGGGTTTCAATCAATTTGGCCATTATTCTATGCATTGAATGTAGTGGCATTCATCGCTCCCTCGGCACGCACATCAGCAAAGTGCGATCTCTCACCTTGGACATCAATTCCTTCACCTCTGATATTGTCGAGCTGTTACTTCTTGTTGGAAATAGAGTGTCCAACATGATTTGGGAAGCGAAGCTCGAGCCTGGCTTCAAGCCGACACCACAGGCAACCCGAGAGATGCGGTTGCGGTTCATTACGGCGAAGTACGTGGATAGGGCATACGTTGAGCCGATTTCAGCCACACTTTCGCGTTATCCAAACCCCGACGACACCTTGCTGGCAGCCATCAAGAAGAATGAGATCCAGCAGGTGATCTACGCCTTGGCTTTGAGGGCAAGTCCTAATGTCACGGACAGGTCTCGAGGAACGCACGCAGTTTTTCTGGCGCTGGCGGCCGCCGATCCTGCGTCACCTTCTCCCACTCCCGGGCAGCCCCCGGAGACGGACAGAACGGTGCCATTCCCAGTTGCAGAGATGCTGCTTCAAAATGGTGCAGAAGTTCCGTTGACGATGCCGGCCTTCCCCCTCAGCCGGAGTGCGCAAATGTATATTGAAGAGAAACGAGGGCGCAGCACGGGGTTTTCAAACGACAGCGTCGGGTCATTGCCCGGCAACCTGAGTCCCAACGAAAAGCTGCAGCGGGAGAGAGATGCCCGATTACAGAAGAGAGTAAGCGCGGGAGGACGTCTGGCCAAGAGCCCGATTCCGGAAAGGTAGCGACCTACCTGTTTCGAGCGGCTGGGACAACTCAACATGTGCCTTGCCTTTGCACTGCATGCGAGGCATAGATCTTCTCTTGAAGTTCACTTATCGACAGACGATTATGATGACTCCGGGGGTGACGATGGATGAAATCATGTTGGCACTGGCAAGAAGACGAAGAGGAAATGGCTGGCATGCTTTGACACTGTCATTACGAGAAGCCATATTGGTTTTGAAGGGTCTGGTGGTCCTTTTTCTTTTCCTACCGGGCGAGAGAGGCTATCTGTTTTCATTGCCGGACATGAGGAGCCCAGAGTCACGGGACGATGTTGTCACATATAGCATGTGTACAGAGTGCTCTTTTCCATGACAGACGCCAGCGCAGGGCCGATCAGGTACACACCATTGTAGTAGTCCTCGATTGGAGAAGGCCAAAGGTTGGAGAGTGCAGAGACGGCCGTTGTGCGTGCGTGCTTGTCAGTGTGTGTATGGATAGTAATAGTAATGAAATGATGAATACAAAGTAAGATAGTAACATTTTATTTCGGCTGTATCGTATGCCATAGACCGAGTGAATGAGGCGATTGAGGCGAAACTCTTGTTGCCACTGGCAGTCAGACAGAAAAGGAGAAAAAAAAGAGAAGGAAAATCGTAAATGAGTCGTTTGGTGGCAGGTGAAGCACTCACGTGTGGGTTTGACGTGGGATGAATCACACCTCCGGTCCGTAGTATACTTAGCCACAGCAAGCGACGGGACGCACACCTATTCTTACAGAGTGACCTAAAAGACTGGGTAGAAGGGGTGTGGGGAACGTCACTCTTAGATGCTGGGAAGGGCACATGATGGGAATGTCTCAATTTGGAGACTCGAGACGGAGGATGGACGGGTGTCTGCGTCAAGCTCGTTCGCCATACCCGCTGTCAAGACCCAAGTTCGACAAGGTGTGGTGAGGAGTCCATGAGCATAGTATGGGAAATCTCGATCGTAAATAGTAAGGAAAGCAACCTTAGGGGCAATAGCGGCTATATGATTCATGAACACCTTAGCTACCTTACTTTACCTTCATCATCTGGTTGTGGTTGAGTGGGCCCCCCTTCCGAGGCGAACATCGCGATAGTGTGCAGGTGAGGTTTGCAGAGGGAAGAAGAACGGCTCACATGAGACCTGCTTCTTTCCGCCACATGGTTCGTGATAGAGGCGGAGGCGGGAGGGAAGTGGGAGAGGAGCTATTATCAGTCGCACGCGGGCGCGGTTCTTGCTTCCGCTTCATGGGGCTGGCGGCATTCATATGGAAGGGGATGGGAGTCATTTCCCTTTTCGAGAAAACGGAATTTTAAAATGTTTTGCCATTCAACCTCGTTCATCATCGTTGCTCTCGTATCACTCATCGTTGCGGAAGCACCATTGCGATCGTCTTTTCAACTCTGCGCGACCCAGTGTACAACGACTTCTACCTTGCCTTGAGGTAAGGTACCTTACCTTACACCATCTCTCTACCTTACCTTATCTATCGTATCTGTGCACGTATCTGCCAGATCTGCATACGACCTGCGACAGTCGAAAAAAAGAAAAGGAAAGAAAAAGGAACTGAGCAGGGAAAGCGGCTTTGGTTTACCTCATTTTTGAGAGAGCAAGAGAAGAAGAGCTCGCAGGAAACAGCCGATGACTGCATGTCTAGGCTGCAGCGCACCCAACTGCTGCACCACTGCAGTCATTCGATCCTCGAGGACCCACTTGCTCTGGCACGGTCGTCCTCGATCCGAGAAAACCAAGGGAAGGAAGGCCCTGTCAACAGCTAACCTCCACTGCCTGCCTGCCTGCCTGCCTCCAGCAAGCAGTCCAGCTGTGTCAGTGTGAGGTAAGGTGACTCTGGGGCGGTGTTCACAGTCCAGCCCAGTTACCTTCCCGGTGACGGGTCCAGCAAGCCCCAGCCAGCCCTGCCCAGCCCAGCGGACGGGACCCTCCCCAGGACCAGGACACAGGACAGCCGTGGACAGGACAAGCAGGACCACCACCTCACCAGCACCGGGACACAGGGACAACCTGACGGGACCCGGCAGCTTGTACAGGGCCATTGCCAGGGGCGTTTGGTTGGTTCTTCCACTTTTTTGGTCTGGCTTGGCCGTAGCTTGAGCACCACTGCACTTGCACCTGCACCAAGCTACCACCTCCCTTTCCCCCTCTCCACTTTGGGGGAACTGACTTCCCGGATCGTCCAATACGCAGGCCGCAGTACGCAGTAGCTCCTCCATTTTCCAGGCTGCACTCCACGCTCACTCCTCGGGGCTTGCCTTTCCAGGCTTTTGCTGAGCAGCTGGTTTATTAATGCGAAGAGCCTCGCCATCCATTACATCTCTCCCTTAGGCAACACTTCCAACATCCAATCTTCCCATCCCCAATCCGTTACAACTTTCACAATCACCCACGTTACACCTTATCCTCAGAACTTTTGTCTGCACAAATCATTTTGGCCGTACAGAGGTTTCCCGTACGTACTAGCTTTACCATAACCAAAGATCGACACATACCTGGTACCCATTAATTCACCGACGACGTAACCATTCCTTACCTCACCTTGCTTTACCCGCCTGCTGCCTCGGAAAATCCCACTTGCGAGCGAATCCCGCAAGACTCGTAACACTACCAATCGAGGCCATGGCTCCTCCTCAACCCGAAAAGAGCCAATTGAAACGAACTAGAGTAAGTCGTCTACTGATCTGCCCGGCCTTCTGGTGTGCAATCCTAAATCGTCTTTCCCTTCCAAAGGGTTCTCTGCCAGAAACCGAACTGGATGCGAAGAAGCCCCGCCGCTCCGACAGGCAATCACCGGAACCCGAGCACAAGACGCCAGTCTCTAAGAAGCATCAGCTTCCCTCCCCAGTCACAAGGTCCGGCGACTCGGATGAGGTCTACAAGGAGCCTACCGCCACACCCCCGGAAGGACGTCCTAGCCAGGTGAACCACCGCGATAAGGACGACGCGTCGCAAGCCGTTAATAACATCTCCTCACCGCCGCAGGAGGCTACCCAGGCTTTCTCGCAGTATGCCCACGAGACCAAGGAGGCCCTCTCGGACGAGGTCGAGGATGAGGTGAAGGAGGGCGTATGGGGATACTTGTTCCCTCTCGATACCAAATATGGCAAAGTTGTCGTCATGAAGAGGCGAGCTGCTTGCCCTCTGCCTGACGCTGTTGAGGCGAAAGAGTCAACGAATAAGGATCAGAATGGAAAGTCGTCCCTGCAGAAGGAAGAAGAGGCGTACGAGCGCACAAAGGTCAAGGGAGTTGCATCGGGCGGATACTTGATTGGCCGTCATCCAGAGTGCGGTAAGCCTGTCGTCCGTCTCCGGGCGTAGCCATGGTGTCGCTGACAACTCGCAGACATCGTCGTGGACGATCCTATCATTTCCAACAGGCATTGCTTAATCTTCACTGAAAACAAGGGCGGTGACACTGTTGCGATTCTGGAGGATTTGTCTAGTAACGGAACTTTCGTCAACGAAGCAATCGTAGGACGCAACAAGCGGAGAGAGCTCCAGGAGCAAGACGAAATCGCTGTTATTGACAAGGCTCGTTTTATCTTCCGGTACCCCAAGAGTCGGCAATCTAGTGCATTTCTGAGTCAGTACACTCTCCTCGAGAAGTTGGGCAAGGGTCACTTTGCCGAGGTGTTTTTGTGTGTCGAGAAGTCTACCGGTCAACGGTACGCCGTCAAGATCTTCACCAAAACGCCCGGCATGGAGGAGAGATCCAAGCAGGAGGGCTTGCAGCAGGAGATTGCTGTTCTCATGGGCGTCAGCCATCCCAACGTTCTCTGCTTGAAGGACACGTTCAATGAACGTAACGCCGTTTATCTGGTCCTCGAGCTGGCTCCTGAAGGCGAGCTGTTCAACTTCATTGTGATGAGGCAGAAAGTGAGCGAGGATGAAACGCGTAAGCTCTTCAAGCAGCTCTTCCAGGGCATCAAATATCTTGTGAGTCTCACATCATGGTAATTCTGAGTCGAGCGCTGACTAGTGGCAGCACGATCGCAACATTGTTCACAGAGATATCAAACCTGAGAACATCTTGATGGTCGACAAGGAACTCAATGTCAAGCTGGCTGATTTCGGCTTGGCAAAGATCATTGGCGAAGAGTCCTTCACGACCACATTGTGCGGCACGCCCAGTTATGTGGCTCCGGAGATTCTCGCCGAGGGCAGGCACAGAAAGTACACGAAAGCTGTAGACATTTGGTCGCTGGGTGTCGTGTTATACATCTGCTTGTGTGGCTTCCCGCCCTTCTCGGACGAGCTCTATTCTAAGGAATTCCCCTACACGCTGTCGCAGCAGATTAAAAGCGGTAGGTTTGACTACCCGTCACCGTACTGGGATTCTGTTGGCGACCCTGCTCGTAAGTGGCTCGAAAGTCCAAATTTTCTGCACAGAGACTAATGCCTCAAACTAGTTGACCTGATTGATTCGATGCTTGTCGTCGACCCAGAACGTCGATTCACTGTGGACCAGTGTCTCAACCATCCATGGATGACTCAGAACCAGCCTGGTGTCAATGATAGCACTGATGGTCTTGTTGGCGGCATTCAGAGCTTGGGCGTCCATCGACGGGGCGTGACCAGAGAACGTACTCTCTTGAGCACATTGAACTCAGTCCAGGTGGCAACCAGAGCGCCTGTGGGAGACAGCAAGAAGCCCGTCAATATTTACGCTAAGAACACGAAGAAGATTCAGCCAAAAGAGGCTGACCCCCACTCGCAGAGAGCTGTGAGCGAGTTCGTGGAGATGGGGGGCAAAGGCGACGAGCCGCTCTTTGGGGCCGATGGAGAGAGCATTTACTCAAAGAACGACATTGCTAGCGCCGAGAAGAATGATGGGAAGTAATGTTGTGTAATGTTTCTTGTGGGTTCTTTGGGAGCATGGATTATGAGATGTGTCTGGGGACAGCATCGGCGATGTTTTGGGTTCTTGGCTTTCCTGGTGCCATGCAGGCATATACTATGTTTGCGACACCACCAGTCATTGTTTTCAGTAGTGTCACAGGCTTGGAGAGAAGGGTTTTGCAGTGAAGCATTGGACAACCTATACAGATACGCAGGCACGGATGGGCAAAAGTTTGGAGTTTGACGTTGTTTTTGATCGAAACAACGGCCCAATGTAATAATAAGCTTAAACAACATGCAAATTTTGTCTGTGAAGATACGTTGACCAGCTCCCATCATTTGCAGGGGAGGTACCTTAGATTGATAAGTTGTATATCGGTCAAGGAGCCAAGACTCAGCGATATTACGCACCGATGTATCGGCCCCGAGAGGATACGAGGCGGCCAGGCTGCTGCGGGTCACACCGGCGGTCCAGATGGACGGGGTGGGGCCGAACCAACGACATGTCTTCATTGGGCCTTCAACTCTTTTTCTGCCATTTGTGTTTCTTTTCTACTTTCGAAGCAAGATGAAAATATCGATTCCAGAATGTCCTGCTTGAAAATATCATTGCCTCGATTTTCTTGCGAATTACAGCATGCCATAGTGAACGATTTGATGTAGATGCGCATTTAGTGTAACGCCCGACGTTGAACGCTGGCACCCCGCTTCGTTCACCGCCTTCGCCTAGGGCCCCATTTGCGGTTTTTCGCACAACTGCGAAAGTGGCAGAAAAAATTGCTTACCACCACCCCTCCATCAACGACGACGTAGAACGAGTCGGCCTTCGCAAATCGAAGCAGTTGGACTCACCGCACGACAGACCGACCCCCTGTCTCCGTTTTGTCAAACGACACGCCCCCTCTCTCTGTCTTTCTCACACTTTCGGCCGTCTGGTTTTTTCCGGGTTTAGAACCTCCTCTTTTTGGTTTTTCTCTCCAACCCCCCGATCAACCGCATAAACCACCGACCTCGAAACCCACCCACCCCCTCTCTTCGTCGTCGACCCTCCCAAAAATCCCGAACACCACATCGGAAACAATCATGGCGGCGGGAGCGAAGCAACAACAGGCGCAGCCGCAGCTGCTGTTCGTCGATGGTTCCTTCCAGGAGCTGGCCCGCGAGATGGCCGAGTACCTCCACATCGCCGATGAGATTAAGCCCCTTGTCGAGAACGAGGCCAAGAAGGAGGAGGTCCTGAGCAAGCTGGTGGCTAAGTCGGCGGCGCTGTCTTCGGTGCCCGAGAAGGAGTTCACGGCCGCCTCGAACCTGATGGTCCACCTCGTCCTGCAGTCCGAGGAGCCCAAGAAGCACCTGCCCACCCTGTGCAGCGCCTTCAGCAAGCCCATCGCCTCGAGCCCCGTCAACGGCGTCGGCCTGAGCCTCAACGCCCTCAGCACCGTCTTCAACCTCATCGCGCCCGAGAACCCGATCCGCTTCAACGTCTTCATGGCCATCCTGCGCTTCCTCAAGTCGCACGCCATGTACGATGCCGTCCAGCCCTACCTGAAGCACCTCCCCAGCTGGTTCGAGGAGTGGGCCACCGGCGAGGAGTTTCAGAGACAGATGTACGAGGAGATTGCCGAGGTTGCCAAGGAGGCTGGCAAGGAAGAGTGAGTTTTTTTACGATATCCCGAGACTTTTGGGATGAGAACATCAGATGTGCTGACGGCATGTGCCCCACCTTGATAGGGAGAGCTACGAGTACATTCTCAAGGCCCTGCGCACTTTTGACGCCGATGACAAGGAGGAGATTGGCTCCGAGGACGCCCAGAGGCTATCCCTCCGCGCGGTCCGCGACGCCCTCCTGTCCAACACACACTACCTCTTCACGGACATCCGCAGCATACCCTCGGTCCAGAACCTCTCCGAAACCCACCCCATCTACTCCCAGCTCCTCGACGTCTTCGCCGAGCAGGACCTCGAGGACTACAACGACTTCAACGACGAGCACTCTGGCTTCGTCGAGAAGGAGGACCTCGACCACGACAAGCTCCACCGCAAGATCCGCCTCCTGACCTTCGCCTCCCTCGCCGCCCAGACGACCTCGCGCCGCATCGAGTACGCCGCCGTCGCAAGGGCCCTCCAGGTCCCCGCCGAGGAGGTCGAGATGTGGGCCATTGACGTGATCCGCGCCGGCCTCGTCGAGGGCAAGCTCTCCCAGCAGGACCAGGTCTTCCTCGTCCATAAGGTCACCTACCGCGTCTTTGGCACGCGGCAATGGCAGGAGCTCGCCACCCGTCTTGACTCGTGGAAGGGCACGTTCACGAACCTGCACGACGTCATCCGCAAGGAGCAGGCCAACGCCAAGGCGCAGAAGGAGCGCGAGGCGCAGGAGGCGGAGCGCAAGCAGCAGGGCGGCGGCGAGGGCGGTCGCGAGGGCGGCCGTCAGCAGAGGGGCCAGGGACGTCGCGATAACAACCAGCAGCGCGAGCCCAGAGAGCCAAGGGAACCCCGTGAGCCTAGGGAGCCCAGAGAGCCGCGCGAGCCCAAGGAGCGGACGGAGGATGACGACTAAGCGGGAGGCATGAATTCTGGTCTGTTGATGAGGAACTTGCCTTTTTGCTTAAGTTGACTTTTCTCGCCTCGCGATATCCACACAGCTCAAGGGGATGCAAAGCGGGACGAGAGGGAAAACAATGGGCCGAAACGAACACCAAACATTACGGCGAAAGAGGAATCAAAAGGTTTCAGGGAGGCCAAAGGGGAGAGAGCAAACTTCGTTCGTGTTTATTGTAATTACGGCGAGGAGAGAGAAGAGTTAGGTGTCCCTGGGACCGTATATGGGACCCGCGCGGATTTCCATACCTTAGAGCTGGGACAACGCTTTTTTTTGTTTTCATGGAACAGTGATGGAAAAAAGGGATGGATTCCGAGTTTTCGACGCTGTGGCACATGACTTGCTTTGCTGCCGGCATTGCGGGAAGAAGAAAAGCAAAAGGTCTTTTTTTTTTAACACTTATTTAGGGGGGTCCCCGAATGAATCCGGCGTAACGAAGAGATTTACGATACAGACGTCTTTTTAGCCTTGCTTGTCCTTGACATTATACTGCTCCTTTTGTTGTTAGTGACCGACCGCCTGATCGAAAAGCAACTGCCAACTATGTATAGAGCTCTTGATATGTCCGCGGCTGAACATAGCTTTTTTTTATACGACACACCTGGTAGGCATGCCATGGTGGCATTAGAACCATCATAAAGTTCACGGTAAGAGGGAGCCTGGGCCAATGATTCATATTTGATACTCGAGTCTTTTTATTTGTCTTTTTCGAGGATTTGGTTGAGAAACTCAAGAGTACATGTCTAGATATACAATAGACAAACAACAAAAGAGAAAAAAAGAATCTTTTTTCGACTCCGGAACTTCTTATACAAGCACACACACACATGGCGAAAGGCCCTTCTTCTAGGAGTCTATGCCAACAAAAAAAAAAAAAAAAAAAAAAAAACGAGCTGACCCTTCTCTACCGCACCCCTCTCTAGACTAATTTTGCATTTTGCCTCTTTTTTTTTCTTCATCTCGGAGTCTGGTGTTCACTTTCAGCCCTGCAACGCAGAGAAGACGAAATCTCTAACCATGGCAGGCCGTGAGCGAAGCTAGGAGAAACGCAGGCCAAACTGTTTAGCCAGCATAGGTGCACGTAGTCCCCCACCATTCGATCTAAGCTGTAACCCGCAACTCTGTTGCAGAGCACCAAATCGGTTTCTCCTCACCCCCAAACTCAGATGCCCAAACGCTTGGAGAGCTCGGAGCGCGTCTTGCTGTACACGTCCTGCGGCGAAGGCGTAGCATCGAGCTTGACGACGCGGCCCTCCTTTTCAAAGTAATCCACGACGGGCATGCTCGTCTCGACAAAGGTGCGGAAGCGCTTGCGGATGCTCTCGGCGTTATCGTCAGCGCGACCGCTCGTCTTGCCGCGCTCGAGCAGGCGGCTCTCCATGACATCCTCGGGGCAGTCGTAGAAGAGCACCAGCTTGGCGGGGCAGACGGCCTCTTCGAACTTGACGGCCTGGTCCATCTTGCGGGGGAAGCCGTCGATGAGGAAGCGGGCCTTGTTGCCCGGGTTGTTCTTGATCGTCTCCGTCATGGCGTTCTCGAGCAGCTGGACGGTGACTTCCATGGGTACGATGAGGCCGTCCTTGATGTAGTCCTTGATGAGCTGGCCGAACTGGGAGCCGGGGCGGTCTTGCTCTGCGCGGAGGAGGTCGCCGGCCGAGAGGTGGGTGAAGCCGTAGTCGGAGACGAGGCGGGCGCACTGGGTTCCCTTGCCGGCGCCGGGGCCGCCGAGGACGAAGAGGACGGTCACGTCGGCGGGAGAGAAGGTCGGGGTCGACTTTGCTGGGGCGGGAAGGCCTTGCTTTGCCTCGGGGGCGGGGAGGGAGGCCATCTCTGTAGGTGTTTTTGTCAGTTGAGCCTCTGTCTCGTGATTGCACAGCTTGATCAAGCTACTGAAAGAATTGGAACATCGTTTCTGTGCACATCCTGTGGACGAAAGCGACAAGATCATGCTTGGGGCCTGAAAGCTGCTTTGGGGGGTATCAGGGTTAGACAAAGATAGCTTACCTGCTCTTTGATCGACGAGGAGCTTGTAAGCAAAGCTACCGGCACCGACAACAACGAGGAAGGGCCAGAACTTGACGCCCGAGGACTTCTTAGGGGGTTCAGAGGAGTAGAAGCGACGCGCCGGGAGTCGCTGCTGAAGACGAAGAGAAGAGCGAGAAGTGGAAGTGAGGATATTAGAAGAGCGGATTGGGGAAGAGGAAGCTCGGGAGAGCAGACGGGGCGCAAAGGAGTGCATGATGACGGGGCTATAAGATGGCGAGGTAGGCGCGGGTTTGGCGGGCGGCAAGCGGCTAGTTCGGGGGGGGGGGGGTGAGAATGAATAAGGTATGGAGGCTTGTCAATGCAAAGTGACGAGGGCTGCGGCTACACCAAGGACAACGAGAGAGGGAAAAAAGAGT